AAAAAAAAACAAAAAAAATTTTATGGATATAGAAAAGTAATTCTTCCAAAATTTTTTTTTTCAGATATTATATACGTAATAAAGCAATAGTTTAAAAAGCAGACCTCCATGATGTCGCTAGTGTGCGGCTTGGAACAAAATTAAGATGGTGAAGAACAAAGCGTCAGGGGAATTGTACGGTGATGATTTGAAGGAAAATGTGGTACATCGAGAGATGAACGTTTAGCTAACTGCTTTGACAAAACCGGTTCTTCAAGTTCTAGGGGCAGTATCCTTCAGTAAAGCCTCCGCTCCACTCTTACACTAAACTACTAGGATCTTGAGATCTCAGCAAACAAGCCTCACAACTCTGAGCTCAATATCCCACCCACCATCACTTTTACTTCATTCAAAAGCTATTTTAACTTTTATTTTTTTTCGTTCACTTTTTTATTATTGTTGTTATTTTTGTATGGTATCATCCTAGATAGTATTAGTCGGTAACTGTTCAAATGTTGATTCAATTTCGATAAACTGTTGTTGGTAACAGTTTTTTACTCTTATTTTTATAAATTTAAAATATAAAATTGCTTTTGCATTTTGGAATCACAGGAAAATCGCATAACAGATCTAGTTTGTCTTTTTTTTTCTAATTTTTCTTTCGCTTCTCTTATTTTGTACTTATTTTGATGCAGGTAAAAAAATTCTCTGTTTCCTGTAATACGTATTTATATTTCCATACAAAAATGTAAAAGACATAGCAAAAAAAATAAATTGAATTTTTTTCTCTGTATTTCTTTTCTGTATACTCTTAACTTTGTTCAACTGCTTCATGCTCGCTGGAAATCCTCGGGTACTTAACTGTACAGACGAAGCACTGAAAGTTTTTTTTTGACTGCAGTTGTAAATGACAAAGATTTAAGCTCGTTCTTTTCTGCTCTTTTCCAATTCCTTTCCCCTCTCTCCCCTCTCCTCCCAAACCACCAGGTCTTGAGATTCATCTTCAGCATATTAAATATTAGCTTATTCTTGCTTATCGTTCTGTTTTTTTTTTGCTTTTTATAGTTCAGTCACATGTGCAGAATTCTATCAGTACTGTTAGATTACCTCTTTGTCACCTATAGATTATTTGAAGTTTAACTGCTTTTTTTTCATTCACTAAAAATTTCTCGCTTTTTTTTATTCTGTTATTGCTTTCGTTTCCGCCTTTATTTTTCGTTGTCAATTTTTTAAAGATTTTTTTCGTTAACTTTTGCGTTTCTACAGTAAGCCTATGCTAACATTATAAAAAATAACAATAGTACTAACGAGTATTATTTGTTGTAGTATATAATAGAAGAAAAAAAAATTTCGGATTACATCACATAATTCTCCAATTTTTAAAACTTTTTACTAGTCATTTTTGAAGAAAATTTTCGACAGAAATTTAGTTCAACAGCGGTAACAGTGCTAAACAACGGTAACAGCAGCTGCAGTAGGCAGCCATAGTGAAAACAGTACCGACAGTGGGGAAATATGATAATGATATTTGACTTAACATTTTTATATACAGCAGAGAACAAGTAAAGCTTGAAAAAATTTTCTGTTTGAAGATTCATTATTCATTCAGAAGGAAGAATATTATTGGTTTTGATGTTTGAAATCAGAGACAGCATAACAGCAGAATACTTTAATACGCTGAGTAGTTTTTTTATGCTAAAAACTTGAGTATTAAAAATCTAATCATTGAACTACGAGGACAAAAGTCAACATCATTACAACAATACACGTAATCGTTGGTTTTGGAACAAACCTTGTCAGCAAATTAGTGAAAATAATAAAAAATAAACCTAGGAATTTATTTTGTTTTTAAAGAGTTAAGATAGAACCATTAAAAAATTTGAAAAAATAAAGTTGAAAACTTTTATTTCTAATAGCTGTAACTTCTGTAAGGTGATTAGCTATGTTCTAGCATTTAGTTGTTGTGGCTTTTCAGACAACGGCCTTACTCTTGTGAAAATCTTTTTAGCTTCAAGACTCTAAAGTAAACATGTTTGTCGATGAATATGATGTGTAAAAATGTATCTTTTAAACTTTTGTTACCAATATATTACTGTCCATCTGATTGAGCTTGAGAAAATAAGAAAAGAATTTTGTTCTTTCTTGCTTTTTTGTGAACAAATAAACTTCTACAGTAGTCGTTGAGTGAACTTCCAAATCGTATACTGCATAACAGTATCTAGCTTCAATGTACTTTTAAAGTTGCGTTCGTTTTGTTTGTAGTAATAATGAAAAATTTACGTCGAGCAATAACAACAAGGCCAACGATGACGATGACGATGACGATGACGACGACGACGACGGGGACGACGACTATGACATTTGCGATAACAGCTATGAAGACCTCGAAAACAATAAAGTCTGTAAACCTTCTTCTCCCCCTCCATTGTGTTAATGAA